AAAACTTGAAATGAATTCCCTCGTTCTCCAGGTGGGCGCCTGATGCTGACTTAAAATTTGAAATAAATTTTCTCGTTCTCCAGGTGGGCGCCTGATGACTTAAAACTTGAAATAAATTCCCTCATTCTCCAGATGGGCGTCTGCTGACTTTAAAAACTTGAAATAAATTCCCTCGTTTTCCAGGTGGGTACCTGATGTTGACTTAACACGTGAAATGAATTCCCTCGTTCTCCAGGTGCACTCCTGATGTTCACTTAAAAATTGAAATAAATTTTCTCATTATCCAGGTGGGCGCCTGCTGACTTTAAAAACTTGAAATGAATTCCCTCGTTCTCGAGGTGGGTGCCTGATATTGACTTAACACTTGAAATGAATTCCCTCGTTCTCCAGGTGGGCGCCTAATGTTGACTTAAAACTTGAAATAAATTCCCTCGTTCTCCAGGTGGGCGCCTGATGACTTAAAACTTGAAATAAATTCCCTCATTCTCCAGGTGGGCGCCTGATGACTTAAACTTGAAATGAATTCCCTCATTCTCTAGGTGGGCGCCTGATACTACAACAAAATAGACAAAACAAAAGAAACTTTTCTGCCCCAGTTTGCACTAGGAAGATTTGTGAGTTGTTAGCAGAACTATAAATCACCTATACTATTGATGAATGATGCAATAATGAGAGTAAAATTGAAGACTCGACTAGGATATGCGTCTCCTAAAGAAATAAAAATCTGAAAACCCAAACTAGGAAGTGCGTCTCCTAAATTTGAGATTGAGCTTGCAGAAAACTATAAACTAAGCTTGACTAAACTAAACACTGACCCTATTCTCCAGGCGGGACCCCTGATTTCAAGAAAATTAAAGATCTATAACTTAAGAAAACTAAAAATTGACCTTTTTTTAAATCCAGACTTCCCTTTTTTTTAAAACTTATTATCCTAAGAGAAAATTCATCACACTAGTTTTTTTTTATGGTATCTTAGGAGAAAGATTCATCAGACTAAGATTTTGATCCTAGGAGAAAATTCATCAGACTAGGTCTTCTATCTTAGACTAGGTCTTCTATCTTAGGAGAAAGATTCATCAGACTAAGATTTTGATCCTAAGAGAAAATTCATCAGACTAGGCCCTCTTTTTTTTTTTTGTTATCTTAGGAGAAAGATTTATTAGACTAAGATTTTGATCCTAGGAGAAAATTTATCAGACTAGGCCTCTTTTTTTTGGTATCTTCGGAGAACGATTCATCAGACTAATATTTCTATCCTAGGAAAAAGTTTATCAGACTAGGTCTTCAATCTTAGGAGAAAGATTCATCACACTAAGATTTTGATCCTAAGAGAAAATTCATCAGATTAGATCCTCTTTTTTTGTTATCTTAGGAGAAAGATTCACCAGACTAAGATTTTGATCCTAGGAGAAAATTCATCTGACTAGGTCTCTTTTCTTTCTTTCTTTTTTTGGTATTTTAGGAGAAAGATTCATCAGACTAAGATTTCTATCCTAGGAGAAAATTCATCAGATTAAGTCTTCAATCTTAGGAGAAAGATTCATCGGACTAAGATTTCGATCCTAGGAGAAAATTCATCAGCCTAGGTCTCTTTTTTATTATCTTAGGAGAAAGATTCATCAGACTAAGACGTTAATCCTATGAGAAAATTCATCAGACTAGGTTTTCTATCTTAGGAGAAAGATTCATCTGACTAAGATTTCGATCCTAGGAGAAAATTCATCAGACTAGGTCTTTTTTTATGTTATCTTAGGAGAATGATTCATCAGACTAAGATTTCTATCCTAGGAGAAAATTCATCAGACTAGGTTTTTTATCTTAGGAGAAAAATTCATCAGATTAAGATTTTTATTGGGAGAAAATCCATTAGACTAGGACTTTTT